ACAAAACGTACGGCAATCTATGTGTGAACTCACTTCTGTCCCTCTCTAACAGTTAGGAACAACACCTTAGCTTCAAACTAGTTAAATGGCCAAAAAAGTTGTAAAATAATTTTGACCTCGCTGTGCTTGTACTGCTTTTGACAACCTCGAGCTGAACGCAATTCCCCGTCAGTCTCTTTCACTCACTCAGTCATGAGTGCATGCTATTAACTTGTGGGTTTTTTATTGATTGTATTTTTTGTCACAAGATCTGCCAACACTGGTTGCGGCAATGTTTTTGGAATTACCTCGACTGGGAGGAGATATGTTTGTATATCTGTACCTGTCTTACTATGGGCATAGACTATCAGGTAAAACACAAGCGTTTCCGTTAACTCCTAGGATGTGATCACTCATTCTCTCTATCAGTGGCTATATATTCCCCCTGGTAAAATAGTAGTGAAAATCAAGCGTTTTATCAAGGTAACAGCCTTAAGCAGACGGGCCTGATGGTTTTCTGTATTCTCAATACTCGTTTGCTGTATACGTCATCGATGAGAAACTGCATCATAATCAGTTTTTGGACAGAGTTAAGCCTATTATGCTCAACCCAAGCAAGTGACGTAAATTTTCTATGAGTGCACAGTAATTAACTCACGTGTAGCACAGGAGAACCACTTTCCCTGATACGTGAAATAAAAGTCCGAACGTCGTGATATTTCCAAGCTTGTATAATACTTCGCAGAAACAGATAGAAATGAATCTTTAGAATTTTTTCCCACTGATACCTCTGGCGAACCAATAAGTACCTGACATTAAAGGGGAAGGAGAGAATGGAAGGCATGCGTACTACCGTTGTAAAATTGTAGAGTTATTTTTCTTTTTGGTCTCCATAATTGTGTTTAACTGGACTCTTGGCTATTTATTACCGATTTTGGGATGTTGTAAATTGTCGTGTGTTGCGCCATCGGGCAGAATGCGTGGACATCATTGATTATTCATAACCGATAAAGCGGCAAATTTGAACGCGACCTCGCTTTGAAGAGCCCTAAATTAGAGAAGAAAAGGCCAAAAGTGGGTCACTAGGCTTCGTAAAACTCACCTTTCTGAGTTTAAGAAAAGTTTGCTTCTAAATCAACGCACGGCTTTTTGAAGATTAAAGATGTATCTACAATTTGCCCCTAAAATGAACGATTTTTATGAAGTAGAAGCATTATCCTTTTGCACTTGAAAATGCTCAAACTTTGGCCATCTTTAGTATAAGAGTCATGTTCAAGAGCGATTTTCTGAAAACCCATATTGCTCACGACAAATCAACGCATGGAAAATGGCAGATCAATTTCTTCTCTAACAGACGACCGGGAGCCTTTAACCTATTCAATTTAGAAAATTATAGTCGCAGTTACGTTCAAAAATGGTGCGTTTTGAGCGAGCGAGCCATTGTCTTCAGCCCACCATGAATAACGATACAGGTCAAACTAAACAATGCCCGTTGTTGAAACCCTTTTACTGGTAAAATTATTCACAGTTTCCACAAATTTTAAAACTGCTACGTGCATCAGCTGTCAAATCTTCGCTTTACAGACTTAATTAAATCATGACGGTGTCCATCGACCAGCACGCTGTTAGAGATCGGAGCTCTTTTCAGACCTCACTGAATCCCTTATCGCCCTGCAATCTGTATGCGATCGGTAGCTGATGATCAGTTTCAGTCCAGGGATAGCACGAACATAGAAAGCTCGACAGAGACTGCGATCCTACAAAATAGCGCATTTGTTCGTATGCTTATCTTCGTTCGCTTTTTCTTTCATCGATTCGAAAAAACTTACGTCAGAGCGATTCAGAAACTTTATTTGTACTTCATTCACGATAAAATTAATTTTAAGATGAGACAGTCGATTCCCAAGCAGGAAATGATAGAAAACACCCGCTGTTTATCAAACTGTCGTAGACTTGGTATGAAGCGAATGTATGTATATTAAGAGGGCTTCTTAGTGAAAAAAGAGACAAATATCAGCTCGATGCAAAGATGAAAACCAAGTTTCTGCGACGTTCAGATAGACCGCCCATTGTTTTAAGTAATCTCTTTGGACAGAGAGCGGTTGATTTTATGATTACTCCTTGTGAAAGAAGAGAAATAAGCTTTTTCAATGCAGGACACTCAATCCCTCGCCTTTGATTTAATTTGCTTCTTATCTGTTCAAGGTGTATTATTGCATCGCGATCCTGCGCCATTTGCAACAGGACATTTTGCGAAAGACACAACAGAAACAACTTTTGATTTTCCTGAAGGTGAGTTCAAGCCGTGTTCGACCTGTTCTTTGCAACATTTGTAGCTTATTTCCGTCTGGTTCAAACGTTGGATTGTTATTTATCTAAAGGCTAGCTCTATTATCCTTTTAAAAACCAGTACTTTTACATTTTTGTGATTAAAATATGAGTAGAACTGTTCAACAGTCCAGGGATGCAACAGAACGCGGGCTGAAAGATACATTCATCTTGGCGGTATTCGACATTCTAGCTTGTTCGTAGTTACGATGGCTTACCAAGAAGCTAGGATGCAACAGCAGGTTTTAAAGCACTAAAGAGATTCATACACTATCATATATAGATTTAGGAATCTTTGTAATGCACAAACCTTGGAATAAGGCACACCTCCCAAAGCCAGACATTGAGCTCTCATAGGTAGTATGGTGTGGCAACCATTAAACCTTAACGTAGCTGAAAGTTTTTTTTAAATTTATTTTTTTAAGGAAAATCCAATAGGTAATTTCAAAGTTGCTGACCAACTGACGTTCATGCAGGAATTAGAGGCAAGATATCGTCCAACCATCCTGTGCGATCTTCAGAACATCACCAAACCATGACGTTGCTCGCTTTATGTAGTTCTCTGCAAGTTGAAAACGAGATCTTTGAATTTCAATCAGCAGCGAGAGAGTATTCTAATTTTATAAAATTTCCTGCAAATTGTCGAGCCTTAAATGAAAGACTGGGAATGACAAAACATGCGCAGCACGTGCACAGAATCGTTTGCGTGAAGTCGAGTCTCTCTGGAAACATCTTGACTATTCGGGTAGCTTTTCTACGTCATGCACTGCCCCAGTTTTCTTGGTCCGGGCCCAAGTGTTTCGAAATTGAACTATTCACACTCGCTATTGATGCACTAGAGCTAAATGATTTTAAACTTTTGTTTAGAAAGGTCTCCTGAAACGGAATTATTTGTGGTAGAAAGAGTAACATGGCCACAATCACTTTTTAGAAATATTTAGATAAGATAAGAATGTATTTAGTTTGTCCAATTTAAGAGAAATTCCAAGTACAAGGAAACAAAATACCCGAAAGGACTGTTAAAGCCTGGTGGAGGTGTTTTTATTGCATTTCTACTTTTATTGTTATATAAAATCATGTTTGTATATAAATGTGTACTATACAATTAATTTAGTTAATTTATTATTTTAAATATTTGTATTTAAAGTTGTATAGTGCTTGTCCATACAAATATTCTGCTGGCTATCATAGCAGAGGAACATTTGAAACGTTCAATGAAAACCTTTTTTCTAAAAACAGTATAATTATTGTTGCTGCTACAAATATGACGCTGTATAGAAGGAAAATAAAGAAGTCGGAAACAGGATAATTAGTATTGACTTAAGCTAATGTTGACGAAATGATTATAAAATATCTGGCCGGAAATCGAGCGTACTTTCTGTCTGCGCTAATGAATGAGTTTGTTTATCTTTTGTCTGAAATATCTTTATAGCCAATCAGCTTACGTTTGATCAAGGTGTGTCCATAAGATAAAGAAACAATTGATTGTAATTTTTTAGTCAGTCTGAGATATAATTTGTTGTGTATGCAAGAGGATCTAAAAAAATTTAAAATCTGGGAGATAAAAGCGACAGTGTGGGTTTCTTACTTATTCCGCACAAAGTTTTAAGACTCAAAATCTGTTTATTTAGTGCATGACTACCGATCAAATTGGAAGGTGAGGCTCTCTTTCAACCCTAATCGTTTCACTAACTGGTGGTTCCAGTCGAATTTTGTTTGGCTCCAGTTCCTCTCTAGATAATCCTATTGACCCAAGTTTCGTGAATGCCGAAAAGATAAAGAGCTTAACTTTTGTTCGCCATCCTTCTTTTAAAACGCCTAAAATCTGTTTTCACAAGCTTTGATTTCATCATGCACCGTATCGACGTAAATTTCTTCTTTTGCTCATTTTGTTTTGAACATATTTGACAGGAGAAAAAAAATTCGTTTTATTGCTTTGAATAATTCTTTTTTCAGGCGGCTGAGTTAGTGTTTTATTATTATTATTATTATTATTATTATTATTATTTTTTCCGCATGTAGGGCTGGGCAACAACTCCAAAGTGAAACAAGAATTATTTACACAATACCAACAACTCAGAATGTTTCTTTTTACCATTGCTTTTACCTTAAGCAACATCTTTTAACGATGGCACAGAAGTACGTGTTTTAAAGACAAGCTTAACTGTTTGCCAATTATTTCTTTGGGAAAGCTACTCGTGTATACATTAATCTTAAATTTAATTTTCGACTAAGAACATGATCAATAATAATTTTAAGTCCCGGATCTAGTACAGAGTCCATTCCAAGGTCCAGTCTGAAGTCCATACCAATGCATCTTTTCCGGCTTGTTTATTTTATCAAGATGTAGGATTCTTATGTCAGACTGCTAAGCTTTAAATTGTTCCACAAATCTATAATTTATGAAGACGCTCCATTACTTGTTCCATTTGACAAGTCGCTAGTTTTATTCGATTAAAAAAATTGAGGGTAACCTTTGAGCTCTTTTAGTCGTGTTCCAAGATTCCTTGAATATAGTTATACGTGAAAATAAGTTTGTTATAAGTTTGCCACAGGCCCAGTGATACGCGATTGGGCTCAGAAGAAGCTTTTCCTTATTTTCCCTATTTAAGATAGCCCGAAGAATTCGTTGTTGGAAACTATCAAGGATTTTACAATCCCTTGAGTATTTTTATCTAATTAATCGTTGAGTCTTTTAAGTGATGCGTCTGAGACAAGGTCAAGCTAAGTGCCAAGAAGTTATTACGTAACTTAATGATTGTCACGGTAGACACGAAACTTCCTTATGTTCAAACCTCTGAAGATTGAGGGAATTGAAATGTTATGGATTGACTTTTTTCGTTACATTTATTATGGCTTTTGGTTGAGTAAAATCGAAAAAATAATAATGACAAGAAAGAAAAATAGCAAACAGACATCATTTAATCAACGGCAGTACTCATTCCTTAGTCAGCGCGAAACCGAGCAACTAAAAGGTTCGCCTCTTTGGAAATTGAAAGCTCCCTGAGGAAAGAGAAAAATAACCAATTAAAGGATGGTTTGGTTCATTTCCAAAGAAAAAAAGGAACGAGACACTTGAATGGAACAATTGAACAGCAGCAAACAAAAGCTGTATACTAAATGATTAACCAGCCTATCAGATCGTATCAAGGCATTCGTGCGTGATCATTCGCACGTTCAATCGCTTGGTACATGTAGCGCTTATTTGTTATTATCAGCGGTGTGGGACCAAAACAAGGTCGTTTTACCACTAGAAGGATGGATATACACGAGTGAAACTTCATTAATGTGACTGCAGCGAGACTTTGTGTAATCATGAACGATTGGGCGCCTTTAAGAAGGGTCAATTCAGTATTCCCTCCGTTCTCCGAAGTCAACGAACTCGACGAGCTCGACGGCAATGACGATGTGAATGGTTGCCACTCTATACTTCGCAAGCACAAATCACTTCCTCCACCGCGGAAAAAAAGTGTACAGTTTGCAGATGGCTGCGGGAAACCTCTCGTTTCTGTTTACAGCGACGATGAGTACAACATACACGTCGCTTTGCAAATGACCAAACGTGAACTTCAGCGAGCGAAGAAAATTTTACATGTTTGTTTTCCTCAACCGGTTGCTTCAGAACAGTTCCGAGACAAGCTAGAGTTGCAGACGGTTTGTCTTGAAAACGCAGTGGCTTCACAAAATTCAATCTGGGGAACGATAAAGGTGAAAAATATCTGTTATCACAAACGTGTATCAGCCAGGTACACTTTAGATAGTTGGATTTCTTCCACAGACTTAGATGCGGTCTATGTACCTGAATCGAACGATGGCGCAACAGACAGATTTTCATTTGCTATAACGCTTCCTGAATACTTCCTCGCTTCTGGAGGAGCTTTAGAGTTTGCTGTTCGCTTTGAAGGCGAAGGAATTGAGTTCTGGGACAATAACAGTGGCCGAAACTACCGCATTGAGTGTTTGGAGGCCACAGCATCGAACGGGGGAAAGTTCGATAGAATGGCGAACTTATTTAGAAATGGTTTTAGGCAGTGAACAAAGTAACAGGAACAAGAGATTATATCGATATTTCCGCAACCAACGAAGTGAAAATAACAAGGGAGCGAACACTTTCGGCCACTAACTAACCGGAAATTTCTTTGTTTCTTTGTGTACTCCAATTAACACCACGTTTGTAATTTTTTTCTCGAGGCCGCTTTCCAGCTATCTTTTAATACTTAGATGTCAATGTAAAACACCACCAGGATGAGGACCACATTTGCCACATTCAAAGTCCAGTTCAAATACCGAAAGACGATATATTAGGGATTATCGCGTTTCGTTGCATGGGAAAGGTACGACCTGGACATAAAATGTACTTGAAAATTATCACGCCTTCCGGCGATGTTTCGTGGGGATTGATTTTTACGTGAGTTCTACTATAACATAGTAAATTTCTTGTAATCTTAGCTATTTGTAAGTTGTTGTTTCGATGGGTAAAGCGAAGTCAGGAAAATGAAACTTAATCACTTATCAATATTGACAAAATGACCAGAATTTGAAATTAGTTATACCCACAACGTGACATTGTCACGCAAGATATGAATTTTTTTTTGTTTCTTTGTTTTAAAGGCTTGGAAATTGTGTCAAACAGTTTCAATTCTTCCTATTACAGTGGTTTCTCAGAAAACTATTTTCTAGTTTAGTTTTTGACTAAGTAAACTTTGATTTTCCGTTAATCCTTGGTAAACCTTCAAATATCCTACATATGATTTCTGTTTTTGATGTAGTTACTATGATTTGTGAGTTTTTTTGGCAGCTTCTTTAGTTCTATATTTTAAGAGAATTTCTGTTTTGATCTCTGGGAGAGCTTTCAGAAACATTTTAAGGCTTTTTACAAGCCCTTCTTTTACTTCTTCTTTCAACTTTGAACTTAAAACACTTTTATGTCTTATCTGTTGTAGATAAAAATCATGATCAGTAATGATAATTTTCTTTTAGCACAAATCTGATCTTCATTTGCACACTGTACTTTTTCAATGTTGATTGCTGTTGAGAGGCTTGAAGCTTTGCTCTAAAATTTATTATCTGTGATATATTTAATTTCCATTTATTTAGTATGAGTTAGTATTTTTCTACTGATTTTTTCATTATACAAAAAAGAAGCAGTTTTTTTAAAACATTTAACAATAAAAAATTTCGAATAAAAGATTTCGTAAAAGCATATTAGAAATATGTTGAGACGTTTCAACATTTGGCTAATGTCATTATCAAGTCAAAGAGTGAAAGATAAAAAATGTTTAAAAGCTAAAAAGACAGTAGATAATGGAACGTTCTTTTAAACAAAGAGTTTTGCACAAATGGAATTAGTCTGCATGTTGAGACAAGGATTGCGCTGCTTGATGAAAAGCGTCTTTTTCCTTGACACTTTTTTAGAATGCAGAATTGGCTTTCTTTGAGCTGGTTTGTATCCCTATGGGCTGTCAAAAAGTGTTTACTGATTGCAGAGTTTTTATGTTCAACAATATGTTGATGGAGGTGTTGAGCTGTAAAGCCAATATAATCTGAATCACACAGATCACATAAAAGAGTGAACATTTTTAATCTCTCACTCTAACTTGATAATGACATTAGCCAAACCTCAAAACGTCATCAGCATATTTTCAATATGTTTCTACAAAACCTTTTATTGCAATTTTTTAACATTAAAGATTTTTTCGTTAAATGCAAAAAAAGAAATGTTTGTTTAAACTTAAACATCAGCTAACTCAATGACAACTGGACAAGAACATTTTGATAAAAATTCCTTTTTAATTGCTGGGAATTAAGGGAACATCATAAAGAAGAAGTCATTGTTGGCAAATGAGCACAAATGTTACTGCAAATTTTGGATGATGTGAACCTTTTACTGACCAATTTCGAGGTCTGGACCACAAGTTACGGTCCAAGTTTTTTAAACTCTGATTTATGGCCCAAGTGCAAAGCCTGTGGGTCATTAATCTGAGAAGAAAAATAACGTTTTGTTACTTACAGTACGGACCGAGAAAACAAGGTTAGTTAGATATTAACTGTATCTCAGCGCTCAAAAGATTTCAGTTGTAACAAATTTTTTAATTTAGTAGGCTGTATAATGAAATATGGCCCGCTAAAATTGACCAATCACAACACACTTACCAACTGAGAGATACAATGAGTAATGGTATTGTAAAAAATATGTTTATGTATTCATCAGCTTTTCAGGTTGCATAGTGATTGTAAAGTGATTACTCACATCAGCATTAGTAAATGTGGGTGATATTTATCAGACTTGTTTTCAACTCCAATTCTTCAATTTCATCTCCACTTAAGTGAACAGAATTATTGTGGTTTATTATCTAGTCTCCAATTCCAAATCATTGTAGCCATAGCATTGTATCTGAAATTGTGGCCAGATATTCAAAACTCTTTAGGGTTCCTTAGCATTTACCAACTTATTACTTAGTCAAAAATGTTAGAGTAATGTTCAAGGAAATTGTGTTGGAACCAGTTTAGGTTTAATCAGAGGCCTCAATGTTTTGCCAAACATTTGATCCAGAACATGTTGCATTTATATATTACACAGAAAACAAATAATCAACCATTTTTATCTGAATTAATCAATCACTACAGATAATTTTACTACACACAAAAAACTGAAATACTTTTCATAGATTACTTTCCTTGACTGGAAAAGGGCAGTAAGGAGTTCTCGTTTTATGCCTTTTCTTAAGAGAAAAGGTGTGAAATAGTCTGTGTCACAATAACATATACACAGTTGCAAAAACAGCACCATCCAACAGAGCATAAACTATACACAATGTAACAAAACTTGAACCACAAACAATGAGACTGAAAAGTTTCTGTGTAGTGTTCATATATCTTCATATTAAACAGAAATTTAATTATAATCTTTTTCACATAAAATCTTTCAAAGATAATTCTTTCTTTCAGGAAATGGATAGCCTCAATTATTATGATGTAAATAATCATCTTACCCATAGGGCCTTTCTGTCTCATTGTTCATGGAATTTTTTAGGTGTTGACAATTTTGCAACGGGGTGTCTCACTTTGATTCACTTTCAGATCATGGCAGATTTAGTGACCATCTTGCATGAATCATGCATATTGTAAAGGCTCTGTTAGAGTGAGAGGTGTATAAATTTACTTTGTTGATTTTGTAAAGTGGCTTAGCTGTTAGGCTAAGTGGAGTCACTTATTTTTAAAAGTTGATGAACTCAGTTTTGTAATGTTATTAAAGTCATTGTGTGTTAACTTATAAATGAACAGCTTAATACCAGTAGGCCATAATATTTTTTGTAATATATGACATCTTTTAAGTAGGGTTGAATGATGTATTGAAGAAAATATCCTTTGAAAATATTGTTAAATGAATAAAAGTGTTGGAATATGTTGTGCTGTGAAATAGTTCAAATACTGTATGAAAGTATGTTCTGCAATTTGGTGGTAACAACTGAGTTGAAAACGTAAATTGGCCACCGTAAAGGGTAGAAAAGCTGAAGTTTCAAGCGTTAGCCCTTCGTTCGAGCGATTGACGAAGAGCTAACGCTCGAAACGTCAGCCTTCTAACTATTTTCGGTGGTAAATTTACGTTTTCAACTCAGTTGTTAACACCAAATTACCTGTTATACTTTCCCACCGACGCAGCACCACAGTTTCTTTAGAAACTTACCCCCCTCCCCTCATGTTCTGCAATATTCATTACATTTCCATTTCTTTCATTTCGTTTTCATATAGAGTGACTGCTTTATCTCATGCTTCCCTTTATTTTTCTTACAAGACAGACGAGAAATGCTTTGATCTTGTACCCAGATCTCCAAGAAACGAACTGAAACCATCCCTGATTCTCTCCATTTTTAGTCGTGAAAACCACCTCCTTTTTCAAATACCCGTTCTTGCGCATGTCCGGTTGTGATGATAAATATCCACATCCATGCAAGACATTCATTGTAGGTGCTGTTATTTATGTTATTTATTCTCGGCGGAAATTATCATGCATTCTATCATCGTATATTAAGGTGTGAAAGGCTAAAGCATTGCTTTCCAAGACATTTACTGTGTGTCAGTTTTTCCTAGGTTCAGCATGAGCGCCTTGCCTCTCCAACTGAGTGGTTCAGCTGTAGATTTTCACGTCATAGGGTACGTAGGTGTAATCTGTTTTTAGAATGTGACGTAAAATTGACGTTTAATTGCTTCTGAAGCTAACGCCTGTTCAAGAGGCGCGTTGTATATACGTAAGACTGTTAATATCTTCTCCAAGGATAGGCGATAATTTATTGTACCAGCTGACGGCATTCAAGTGGCGAACTCTTAAAGTATGTAGGGGGTATGCTGCGTCGGTGGGAGAGTATAACAGGGTCATTTGGTATTATTAACTAAGTTGATAACGTAAATTGGCTGGAGCAAATGGAAACTGACGAAGGGCTAACAAGCGAAACGTTAGCTTTGAAACTCGTTACGTTATGAACTCAGTTGATAATACCAAATTACCTTGATAAGGTATATGACTGGCTGTCTCGATCTTCAAGTAAGATAAACGATAACTTGTTGCATGCTCTAGTTAACAGCCGCTCCACTCTGTAGACTATCTCGATCTCCTTTTGAAACACACGAAAATTACAAATTGTTACTGCAGCCAACGCCCGCTTAAGCCTTTAACTCCCAGATCAAACTTGTAATTCTCCTTACTGTCAACCATACAATTCTTATATTGTTTGTTCAGAGATTTTAGTATTGGATCCAATTATCCCCAAATTGATATTTTCTTTGTTCTCATCACTTATGTGGTTGATTTTGTATTGATACTGTAAGGAGAAATTCTTTCTTGGTCACTCATGGGAGTTAAAGGGTTAAGAGGCGAAGTGTGTAGGTATACGGACTGACTCGGTCTTCTCCTTGGTTAGTTTTCCGTCAACAATCTCCAGTCACCTGACACCTATCAGAGTCTGATAAATCAAGCTTGAAAATTTGAGCATTGAGCTTTTGTTTGAGCGTCTCCCCTGAAAACATGGCATTATGCCGAAAATTAGGCTTGAAATGATTCATTATGCTCAATTTGATAAATGATGGAATCATAGCTTTTATAAGCCCCTCTACCATTCCCCGCCCCTCCCCACTTAATTTCCATCACCACCAGGAACCACATGGTAAGACCAGAAGAAGCTTACTGAAGTCCAGAACATGACATTTTACTGAATCAATTTTCTAAAAAGCAGACAAGAAGCGAAGGCTCACAATTGACAGTACTCAGGCTACAGAACTGATCTCTTGTTGAACATCAAAGGAATTTTAATGAAGTTTAGTCATTTTAGCGACATCTTGCTCAATGCTCTGACTACAGCATCATGCCGGCATAATTTATCTGACCTCAAACACCCATCGCAATGAAGGCTGTCACGTCATTACTTCATGCTGTTCTGGTTATAGAAGCTTATTTCACAACTCTTATGGGGATAAGATGAAAATTCATAAAATTCTGACGTAACAAGAGGTAACCGGAACTTGCACCGCTTTGTTAAGAAAATGCTCTCTCATGCTCTCATTGAAAAATAAATGAATGAATAAATAAATTATCCCATTATCCTCTCTTTGTCTTAAATCTGTGATAAAAAAATCGATTAAAATCAGTAGATGTATGGCTCGAATATTAAGCGGTAGATGATATTTACAAATACTGCCAATCTACATATCCAAAACGAGTTGGACATCCTTCCCATCCAATTTTCCGCAAACAGAAATTTAGCTTGATGAATTTTTTTTCAGCAGCATTCGTAAAATAATTACGCTTTTTGTTTCGTGGTTTTTTGCTTGAAAGCCTTTGACGCAACATTTTTGAAGCTGAAGGCATATCGCCGGCCATTTATTTCCACGATGATATGACGTCATTGCGTTTGAATAAATTTATTCACTCATGCATGCACCAAGTCACGAACGGAGTTCAGACGAACTGAGAAAATGTAAACATGCTGCCATGCACGATCGGTAGCGAAAAACCGCCTTAATGTCGAACCACTTCGTACCGGTTAATGTTAAAGGCAATCCTGGATTCCAATAATAACTTCTTCTTCCCGTGTTTGGGAGAAAAGTTACTTATGAAGATCATGAAAGAACAACAGGAGAATACGGATTCGCCGCTTCTTTCGCCTTCGGATTTGACGTCGAAGCGGCGAGTTCACTTTGCGGATTTCGATGGTCAGGATCTGGTCTCCGTTAAAATTATTACACCGACAAATAGCGAAGAAGACTTGTCCCTGAAAAAGGTAGTGGACATCTTGAATCACTCTGCCACGCCGGTTCATTTAAAACGGTTCAGTTGTTGTTTTACACAACCTGGGCAAGATGAGAACTTTTTATCTCGTGTGATAGAGCGAAATGTTTGCTTGGAGAACGTTGTTTTTTGCGGGTTTGCCATGACCGGGACTGTGAGAGTAAAAAACATCGCCTTTGCGAAAGAAGTCACCGCAAGATACACAGTAGATGGATGGAAAAACTTTCGCGATGTTTGGGCCGATTATGTACTAAAATCATCTGATGGAGAAACTGACAGATTTCAGTTCAGAATTTCAATTCCTCAAGATGTTGATGTTGGGGCGAAACTCGAGTTTGCAATTCGATACCGTACAGCTGGTGAAGAGTATTGGGACAATAATTTTAATCGTAATTATAGTGCAGAATGTTTCCTCCACACGATTGTCGACAAATGATGTACACCGTATCTTCCAAAGGTTTATCGAGCATCCCGCAAGTCACTGTGCATTATTACGTTTACCTTCGACGTCGTCAAGTTATCGTGTCTGTGCGTTTGGAACGACGGTTTCGAATCAGAAAAGGGCAAAAGAAGTGAACAGAAAGTTATATAACTGCTGAAAAATAGTACATATTAAAACAACAAACGTGATAGAGCAATAGTACGGTGGTACAAGTTTTCCGGTAGGATTTTAATATCATATAAACAAGTCACCTCGAATGTAAGCCATTCATATTTTTGTCGAATAGATTTATGCAACTTGTGGCTAAAAGGAAACGAACTAGAGTATTTTGTGCTCCTGTGCGGAGAAAACGTATTTTACATTGTTAATAATGTCAACTTAGGTAATCGAGTTTCGATCGTTGCGTTTTTTCTAATTTATGCGTGAAAGTGAACAATAATCTCTCATGAAGATCATTTCAGTTTAACTAACGACTTTATTTATGGAAAACTCGAAATTTATATGTCATAGATTATTTTTCCAAATTCTTAGTACCAAACCTGTGGTTTAAATCGAGAATAAAACAAATATTACGAAAGCATAATCGAACGGCGACTCCGTGGTCTTATTTTAATAAGAACAATTCAGTCCAAGCATCCATCGAGAGAATCAGCATACTTTAATTAGACTTTTGTCTTCAACTTCTCTTTTTGTATTATTGGATAAAAACTCGGCAAGGGCAAAGATCGATGTGTGCTAAACTAACTAGTTTATATCTCGGTGATATTACCTGAACATTTCCTGTGGCGTGACAACTCTTAAATAGCGTGATTTTTGCACACCATCGCGTCCGATAGTTCAGAAAAGGAAAGTAACGGTCAACCAAGGTTTGTTTAACTCCAAATGTAGAGTTTAAACTTTAGAAACGCCTGTTTATTTGTAGGTTGGAACCACCGCTGGGTTATGGTGCTTCGTTCTTTTCTACTGTGACGTTACCTTACCGACCTGGGGTCCCACACACCCTTGTGTAGATGCCTTAGTGTGCGCACCTAGAGCAAGAGCGATTAGCTAACCTCCGAACAGGCCCTTATATTAGCGCTACAGGACGTGAGTTTTTTTCGCCCTGTAAGAGATATCAGATAAGTCGGGGAGAGGTTTGCCGGGGGTCTGGCACAATCAATCAGTTTTAGACTCCCTTGCAGGCCTCACTACGACGCCTCATGCTCTCCCTTGGCAAAGAAACGCTTATAGGGAAGCGCTGATGATGAGAACCTATTCAAAGCCTAGCGACTTGTTACAGCTAAGATCCCTTCCCCTCAAACCAGAAAAATTATTCAGGCATCTTTAAGATACTGATGCAATTTTCATCCTTTTTAGTTCTCTTTCCGGTTTAAACAGGAACAGGTTATTCCCTTTGCTGTCTTCCCAATTTCAAAGTTCCTCGGCCAATGTGAGTTCAAGTTAACCCCGTTTATCCTATCCTCGATGCCTGTCGATAATAAGAAGTTTGCCAGCTCCAGGCGTGCGCACGCGAGTCTACGCAAGATTGGAAGCTGCACTTCGGCTTTAACGCCGATGTTCTATCGCAGAATTACTGAGAACTCGACGGTGAACCTTACAGACCATGGTAGCGCAGTAGTATAGCATCGAAGCGTGCTCTGTACAGTACCACGCCCGTGAAAGAAACGATTAAAATTTTTCCTCCTTGAGATTCGAACCATCTTTCTTATCATATTTACAAATTTAGAAGTGTCGAACAACATCACCATTTATTAAGCTGTGATGTCCTCTTCAACAAACATCGTAATTTTCAAGGTGATGAAGGGTTTAAACAAGCATTAGAAAATCGTTAGTTCTACATTCTGAAAACTAAAAGCCTTTTCCATCGACCAAAAAATTGAAATCATCCATTTTATGACAAACAGTGTCTCAACATTGTCACGCCAGACAAAACCCTTCGATGCTTCTTCCCAAAATGACGGTAAAATATTCAATCCGCGCAGGTCAGCACACAAAGAAAAACCTAATAACAAATTGCTGCAAAAGTAGGCCAAAATATTGAGCACAAATTCCATGAAACATATTGTTAAATAAAATTGAACTTTCCACGCAAGTAAAATGTACTAGAACTCCGTATGGACGCTCAAGATGCGACCTCACGCACGTCTTCGACCTAAAGGGACATAGATAATGACGTCATAGGCTGTCGGCGCTTTCTGGCGATTCAATGTCCGCATGCCATGTCTATAAATGTCTTCATGAACAGATTTTGGGTGCATTTTGTCCGGCTTTTTCACCATATCTAAAGAAAAAGGAAAGCTTTTCTCAGCCTCGAAGTCCTACTGAAATATTTCCTCACCGATTCCGGTTGTTGTTCATAAGCTACGAATGTTTATTGAATTCATGAAGTTAGTCACGCTTTTTTGGTGACGTTCGGTTGGCGTGTGTCCAGTTGATATAAAAAGCTTTTAGGAAAACAAACCGTCACAAAATCTAGTTCAGGGTATCGTGAAAAGATATTTATACGTGAGGAAAAGTATTGTTAAATAACACCCCGACGGTCAAGAGCTTTCGCTGGGAAATCTTTCGCTGGCAATCTGGGAAAGGTGTTTGGCTTTTGCATCGAAGAATCAGGCACGATAAAAGCTCTGGAACATTTGTAAGTAGAAAAATACATTGTTTCTTTAGTATGATTATTTCTCAAAGTTGATGTGATGGTCGGTATACAAATCAAAACTGCGTTTTAAATTATTCCTTCCATTCGAATTTGTGCAAAACATGCATAGAACCTTGGCTAGGCGCAAAGATCGATTAAGGCCAAAATATCGTTCATTTTAGATTCCGAAGTGACGTCAATCTTCCGAGTTTTTCCGAGCAGTGGCATCACTTTCCCGACCGCCGGATACTGAAAGGAAAGACTTGAACCACTTGACCGGCTGTGATCCGAAAACAGAACAGAAATGAAGATGGATGCGAAAGCTAATAGCTCTGGGCCGACTCTAACAGGGTCTGCGACAAAGAGAGTTAGCTTCGCAGACCTAGTTGGTCTCAAACTCGAGTTCGTGAAAACAATAACTCCGTGCAGTAGCGAAGAAAACTTAATCGCCCTGGGTGCTCGGAAAAACAATCGTGATGTCAACGGTAATGTGACCAGAAGACAACGAAGTAAATATCGATATCTTTGCCCGTGCTTCTTAGCACCTTCACGAGCAGAATGCAGCTTTATGGAAAGAGTTTTCAGCCAGAATGTATCCCTTGAGAATATCGCGTGCGATAACTTTGTTGTTGCCGGACTTATTCGAGTGACAAATTTATGTTACACGAAAGAGGTTTCCGTACGATTTACAGTAGATGGCTGGACGTCTTATAAAGACATTTGGGCAGATTACCTCTCTTCTTGTTCAGATGGAAACACTGACAAGTTTACCTTTCGTATCACAATTCCCTTTGACTTTGAAGCAAATCAACGCATGGAGTTTGCAATACGCTATCGTGCTTTAAACCAAGAGTTTTGGGACAGTAATTACGGAAATAATTACCATATTCAGTGCATAGAAGTCTGAACTGACGGCCTGAAATGAATGATAAGTGATATCCTAAGAAAACTGTTGAAACGACGAAAACTGTTTAAGGCCGGCCTTTCGCTTTAGAGTGTCATTTATTCAACGACAATTTATTGGTCGAAACAGCTGATGTGAAATAGATAATGACAGAGTATTTTTGCACAGTTTGTTAGTGCGATCCCAGATTGTGTAAAAGGCTCTCAAAAACATTTCAGGCCAATATCGTAAATGAAACACTAAAGGCTTCTCATCCTTGAAATAGCGAATTTCGCTTGTTGACTGAAATGTTTCCATATCCAAAACATTGTTTAGTCAATAACGTGTACACTGACATAAAGATGACCCCATGCGACATTCACTAGACGTTTTTCCTGGTTACAAAATTGGGTTACACGTCTTTTAAACGTTTCGTTCAACTTCCAACTGTAGGAAAACGACATGCAGAAAAACAAAAGAATAATTATCCTCAGATGTAAAAATGTTTGTGATGTCAAAGAAAGCAAAGGTATAGCACAAACGATTCAAAAATTAAAAGAGGCAATGTTCATTGTAAGCTATTTGCATTTGCGTCGTTGTTGTTTGTTTTATCTTTTAAGTATTTTCCACACACAAGCTTTCGTTTGACAGAAAAATGCAACGACTATTAGAAGGATAACACGAGCGAAAACTTAATAACCTTGAAATAAAGGCTTCCATGCCAAGCACGTGCTCAGTTGTGGAAGATTGAATCAAGATCCGAGTTAAAGTAATTTGCATGGAAAATATTTTCCTCAAACACGTCCGTCAGTTGATTTCATAGTTAAACCCTTTAGTTCTCTTTTACTTGAATCGAATCCTGAAGCACTTAGGCCTAGAGATTATTATTTCAATCTCAAGGTTACACAGAACATTAGTTAAACTTAAGATAAACACAGGAACAGCAACTTCTGACAAAGAAAATGAGACTGGTCATTTTAATGCCCACACTACAGTAGCTATGATCATATCATGCTCATTGAACCTGAAAACTTGTAAAACAGGAATATCTGCCGAACCGTAGAATTACGTGTATATCACCAATTAGGCCAATATCCTAAATAAAAATGTTAGATCGTTTTCCCATGCAACAAAATGATAATTTCAATTCTTGATCAGTTGAAATTTCCACTTCGCTTCAGTCAGACTCAAGTAAGTTCTAACCAAACTGTAAAGTGCTTTCGAGCCAATAATGATGATGATAAAAAAAAAGAACAGGGTACGTGACAGTGAAGATTGCAGTACAAAGAATTTGCGATTTGATCAATCATTACCAGCGCTACCAATCTCACTCGTTAACAAATAATTAGTTAATTAGTCATTCAATTTGCATTATCCTTTTTTCCTTTTTCTCAGACAGAAAGGAGAATTAATATCGTGGCCTAAAGGCTGTAGTAGCCGTTGAATTAATCAAATGGCATAGTTGATATATCAAGCTCAGACTTTCCCCTGTGCTGCGCACTAATTCATACTCCACCTGTCTACTGAGTCAACAGTAGCAACAAAAGAAGCAGCAGTAATATAAAATATAAAAGTAAAAGATTTAGTAGTAGTAGTGGCAACAGAAGTAGTAGTAGTGCTATAACAAAAAGTATAGTAGTAGTAGTAAAGTGGCAGTAGAAGTTGCATAGTAGTAGTAGAAGTAGTAGCAACAACAACAGTAACAGCAGCAACAGTAGAAGTTGTATAACAGTAGTATAGTAGTAGAAGTAGTATTAGTAGTAGTCGTATAAGTAATAATAGAAGTAGTAGTAGTAGTAATAGTAGCAGCAGTAGTAGTAGTAGTAGTGGTATCAGTAGTAGTAGCAGTAGTAGTAGCAGTAGTGGAAGCAGCAGTAGTAGAAGTAGTAGTAGTAGTTGTAGTAGTAATAGCAGTAGTAGTAATAATATTAGTAGTAGTAGTAATGGTAGTAGTGGTAGTAGTAGTAGCAGTAATAGAAGTAGTAGTAGCAGCAGCAGTAGTAGTAGTAGTAGTAGTAGTGGTATTGGTAGTCGTAGAAGTAGTAGTAGCAGCAGCAGTAGTAGTAGTAGTAGTAGTAGTAGTAGTAATATTAGTAGCAGCAGTAGTAGTAGTAGTCGTAGAAGTAGTAGTAGTAGCAGCAGCAGTAGTAGTAGTAGTAGTAGTAGTGGTATTGGTAGTCGTAGAAGTAGTAGTAGCAGCAGCAGTAGCAGCAGCAGTAGTAGTAGTAGTAGTAGTAGTAGTAGTAGTAGTAGTAGCAGCAGCAGTAGTAATAGTAGTAGTAGTAGTAATATTAGTAGCAGCAGTAGTAGTGGTAGTCGTAGAAGTAGTAGTAGCAGCAGCAGTAGTAGTAGTAGTAGTAGTAGTAGTAGTAGTAGTAGTAGTAGTAGTAATATTAGCAGCAGCAGTAGTAGTGGTAGTCGTAGAAGTAGTAGTAGTACTAATAGTAGTAGAAGTAGAAGTAGTTGTGGTGTTGGTAATAGTAGTAGTAATGGTAGTAGTAGAAGTAGCAGCAGAGTAGTAGAAGTAGCAGTACTAGTGGTGATAGGAGAAAAGATTGTGGTTATTCATCATGGTGAATAACAATAAAAGCTAATTTTTTCGTTTGTCTCACGATGTAGTCACGTGCGATGTAGATCGCGACGTTTCGACTGCATACTGCTAGTCTTCTTCAGGCGATGAGGTCGACTGGTCATACGTGATCTTATAAAGCATGATGCTCGGCTGTGATTAGTTGTTTTTTAACATCTCTGATTGGTGCATTTCGATGCTTGCTGTTCACTCAGTGATTTGCTCCCTCGGCGGTCCGCTGTCGCACGGCTCTTCTGTTGTTGTGTTTTTTGATCGTGGGCATCCACGTTTCTGGAATTTATATTCCACTATCTACTACTATTCCAGTAGTACTAATAGTAGTAGAAGTAGAAGTAGTTGTGGTATTAGTAATAGTAGTAGTAGTTGTAGTAAAAGTAGTAGTAGTAGTGGTATTAGTTGTAGTAATTGTAGAGGTAGTAGTAATAGAAGTAGAAGTAATAGCAGTAATAGCAGTAATAGCAGTATTAGTAGTAGTAGTGGTAATAGTATTAATAGTAGTATTAATAGTAGTAGCAGTGGTAATAGTATTAATATTAGTATTAACAGTAGTAGTAGTGGTAATAGTATTAATAGTAGTAGTAATAGTAGTAGTAGTAGTATTAGAAATATTAATAGTATTAATAATAGCAGTAGTAGTGGTAATAGTATTAATAGTAGTATTAATAGTAGTAGTAGTGGTAATAGTATTAATAGTAGTATTAATAGTGGTAGTAGTGGTAATAGTATTAATAGTAGTATTAATAGTGGTAGTAGTGGTAATAGTATTAATAGTAGTAGTAATAGCAGTAATAGTAGTATTAGTAATATTAATAGTATTAATAATAGCAGTAGTAGTAGTAGTAGAAGTGGTAGTAATAGTAGTAATAGCAGTAGTAGAAGTAATAGCAGTAATAGTAGTAGTAGTGATATAAATAGTATTAGTAATAACAGTAGTAATAGTAGTTATAGTATTAGTATTAGTATTAGAAGTAATAAAAGTATAAGTAGTAGTAATAATACTAACAGTAGTAGTAATAGTAATAGTAGTAGTATTAATAGTATTCGTAATAGCAGTAGTAGAAGTAGAAGTAGTAGTAGTAGTAGAAAAAGTGGTAGTAGTAGTAGTACTAGTAGTAGTAGTAGTGGTAGTAATTGTAGTAGTAGTAGTAGTACAATTAATAGTAATAGTAGTAGTATTAATAGTAGTATTAGTAGTAGTAGCAGTAGTAGAAGTAGTAGTAATAGTTATAGTATAGTATTGATAGTAATAGTAGTAGTAGTAATAGTAGTAATAGTAATATTAATAGTATTAGTAATAGCAATAGTAGTAGTGGTAGCAGTAATAGTAGTAGTATAGTATTGATAGTAATAGTAGTAGTAATAGCAATAATAGTAGTAGTGGTAGCAATATTAATAGTATTAGTAATAGCAGTAGTAGTAGTAGAAGTAGTAGTAGTAGTAGTAGTAATTGTAGTAATACCAGTAGTAAAGGTAGTAGTAATAGCAGTAGTAGTAGTAGAGTAGAATTATTAGTAGTGGCATTAGTAATAGTAGTAGTAGTAGTAGTAGTAGTAGTAGTAGCAGCAGCAGCAGCAGCAGCAGCAGCAGCAGTAGCAGCAGCAGCAGCAGCAGTAGCAGTAGCAGTAGCAGCAGCAGCAGTGGTAGTAGTAGCAGCAGCAGCAGTAGCAGCAGCAGCAGCAGCAGCAGCAGCAGCAGCAGCAGCAGCAGCAGCAGCAGCAGCAGTAGTAGTAGTAGTAGTAGTAGTAGTAGTAGTAGTAGTAGTAGTAGTAGTAGTAGTAGCAGTAGTAGCAGTAGTAGCGGTGGTGGCGGTGGCGGCGGTGGTGGTGGCGGCGGTGGTGGTGGTAGTAGTAGTGCCATTAGTAGAAGAAGCAGTAGTTGCAGGAGCCGTGGTGGTTGTAGCGTACTATGATAAGTAAAAGTAATTGTTGTATTAGCTGTAGTTGTTTAAGCACTAGGATGTTTTTATAGCAGTACTGAGTTTATGAGGCGTCTGAATTTTTCTCTTTAATTCAATTGAGCTATTCAAGAATATCCGCTCGCGTTTTTCTTTAATCATAACTTCGTAATTGACTAGTCTACGTTCCACCTAATTCATTTCTTATTTCAATCTTCAGTTGTAATTGTAGTTGTAATGGTAATGCTACCCAGTTTTACTGCCTTAATAGAGAAAACTGATGAGACAATGTGTGTGACACTGGCGTCTACCGAGCTTGCGAAGTGTCATAATCCACAAAAACAAGCTCGTACTTTCGGACGCTCACAGTCCAAACTTTGAACTGTTAACGGCGTTTGTCTCAAAAGCATATCCTGCCATGACAGTTATGAATAAGACCTACCTTTCGCTATTATGCTGGCTGAGAAGAGTGTTTGGACATCACCCTTGAAAAAACAATTACATCTAAATGATTGAAACACGTTTAAAATTTTGAAATATTAGGATATTTTCCTCGTAACGATTTTAATATATTAAGACATCATTGCATGCTAAGCGCCAGCGAAGGCCGATAATTTCTTTAGAGACAGGAAAGCAATAGAGAAAAAATAGAAAGGTTTTCTTTTATGCAAATATTTGCTTGAAAAACACGGATGTAAATCAGTTACGCTTTAAGTCCAGCCTGAAGATAGACTCATGATTCATCTAGACTTCGCTTTCAATAGCAGAAAGATCAATATGGAAGTAAATTTAAAGAAACAGGAGCACTTAAAATTGTTTGCTTTTTTGTTCGTGCCACTTTTATCACTAATCTATGACTTGGAGAACATTGGCTCGTTGCTCACTTTGGAATTATAGTTATCTAAAGTTTATGTTCATGTAGTAATGAAATGTTTTAGTGATACCTTTCCCACTTTAATTCTAAACTTTAAAAAAATAGGCTCGCATATTTATTTCAGATCAACAGCATTCGAAATTGGTGATAGTCCTAAATCTGAACTAGAAATATACTTAGTGTGGTGAATTGTGCTCTTTTGAGGAAGACTAGAAAAAGTGCATGTGCAAAGAAAAAACACGTGTCAATTGCTGTGCGCACAAACCCAACGCATTGAGTATTTTTTACGGTTTGACAACTTTATATCAAGGTTTTATTTTTCCTCTGGACGGGTCCACAACTCTGTCTGTCTGTCATTACCCATTAGTTAGTTTCTATAGCTGTGTGAAGCCGTGATTCAAATCGAAGAAACGACTTCTATCTTGTAGCGGAGATGAGTCCGATGCAAACTCTATTCAATATGAAAATAACTCTCTGCACTCATCAAACTAGTCTGCAGTGCAGGCGTAATTTTAACGAGCGAGCACTCACAATTTTTTTTAAGCAAAAACCATGTACGCTATGTATGATTCTTATGGCAGCAGAAGGCTAGGGAGAGAAAGAAATTTTTACCAAGGGGGGTGGGCGACGGTCAAAATTAAGGAGAGGGGTAGTGGTGGGGGAGTGTTTTTTAGCCTCTCTCCGCCTTTCCCTGGTAAGGTGAAAAGGAGTCAAAGGTACAACCTTACACGTGCCTGTAATGAGCTGTATCCTGAAATCAGCTATAAAACAGTTCGATCATAACAGAGAATGTGTGCTCTCTTTTCGATTCGTCGCTCTTGGCTCAGTGATCTGACCATGATTTTCCTAAAACAAACACAGAAACATCTTAGGCCTGTTACTGCGATGAAACTTCAAAGATCGTGCCTTTTTCACCCCCCTTCAGAGCAGAAAAAGGACCCTTTAGGATCTTAATCGAGGAAAAAGCTCAGCTCGTTGATCCAGCTGAAATTTTCTTCTGTAACCTCCTTAGTCCACCTTCAAGGCTCAAATGATCCTAAGAATGAACTATTCTTAGTTGCTTCTCAGTTAGTTCTCAAGTAACTAAAGTTTTATGGCAACAGAAAAGAACACAGCTACCCATTCTTAACATAAAAATGCTGCAAACTAAACATTCAGTAACGGGAATTTTTTGTTCTAATCTTGACCTAAACACCGTAGGCAAGAAACCATCTTTGTCAGTCTTCGTCGAAATCTTCGTTTGATGCACGCGGTTCTCCTTCTTAGGGCTGAACCGTACTCGCAACTTACATTCCTTCTTTACTACTAGAGTACGATGCATCACAATTCTCGGTAGAGCTTGGTGAAGGTAGGTATACATCGCTATCGGACATAATTTCAAGAGTATTTCAACGCTGACAGATAAAAATTACAAGAGATATGAGATATTTGTAGGTGTCAACTGAGAGTTTTCACAGTTTTCTGCGTCATCATCCGCCAATCCGTTACCAGTCCACGGGACACTTTTAAGACGAGCACTTTAGGGCCCGAAAAAAACCGAATTTTAGATTTTTTGAAAATTTTCTCCAATTGGAATTGGTTTGAATATATAATAAGCTAAATATTTACGCAAAAAAAATTTCGTGTCATGGACACTTAAAGAGATATTCAAATCTGACGGATTTGTTTTGGTGTAAGGCGACCTTTGAACAGCTACAGTCGTTATGTCATATCGCTGGGAAAACTCGAAGCCTCTGTTTTACGACAATCCTAAAATAATAGTATTTTACTCTGTTCAGCTTTAAGAAATAAGGTATGTCCCAATGTCTCATTTTGAAAGGGCATAGAACGGTTCAGCGACATCCATTTCAGGTTTTTTTCGATGTCAAGGCTGACAAGCTAGTAAGTTATATAATTTATGCTAGATACATTACATAATTTATGCCGAGGTTTGTGCACATGCAGGCTCACACGACTTAGTCTCACGTGATCCGTTGATGAAAGCGTGGCATACAATCAACTTTCCCTTAGAATTTCTCTTTTGTGTCATTTTAATCTTTGTTGTGGTTGGATGTTTAAAAAAATCTTGTTTCACGCTGAAAATTGGTCCAGTTTCCCAATGTGTCACCATTCAGATGCTTTAGTTCACGTGCGTCGATCTTTGTGCTCACGTGATCTGTTAATTCTCTGCGCATAAAAATGCATGGAAGCTCTTTACGATCAAGCGTTCTTCGCTTGAGCTTAACGACATCTTTACTCTAGAGGCGTTAATTGAAAATTTCTTTGGCTTCTTCATGGTGAACAAGAAACGAGTAACATTCGCCGATATATTAGGATTCTCACTTGTGTCTGTGGTCGAAATTTATCCTGAAAACTGGTTTCCTGACAGAATATCTGAAAAGCACAGATCTCAAGCTAAAAGTGACCGTAATTATCGACGAAGCCAACTGAAATGCTTGTTTGACCAACCAGCGAACACTGAGGACTTCCACAGAAGAGTGAAGCGAGAGCATGTTTGTCTAGAAAATGTAGTCTGTGACAAAAATGTTATCCGAGGATTTGTACGTGTGTTGAACGTCGCTTACGCGAAAGAGGTTTTTGTACGTTACACGATGGAAGGATGGAAAACCTTCAGAGAACAGAGCGCCTACTATTTGTCGACCTCAAAAGACGTAACTACCGATACATTCTTTTTTGGCGTATCTCTGCCCTCAGACTGGCAAGATGCAAGCACAGTGGAGTTCGCCGTTTGCTACCGTGTTAGCGGACAGGAGTACTGGGACAATAATTATAAGAGAAATTACTCTATACGGCTTGGGTTCAAATGAGGACATGGTGACCTTACATGAAATCAATAGCAGGGTTAAAAGGTTACCTTCTGAATTCTAATACCATGTGTTTATTGATAGGAAAAAAAGAAGAAGAAAAACGCGCATTTCGATATTTCCTCATGTCGCGTGAATAGCGTGACAGTGTAGAAGTGCACAGTCATTTGCATGTGTCGATGTATTCGTGTGGGTTTTCGTTTTGATGAATTCATACCTTCAATGTATTGGGAAACTATATCTGAAAGAAAAAAAACCAGTAAAAAGAAAGAAATGAACAAAAAAATAACAGAAATATACAAGAAGTGATATAATTCGACAATTGTTCACATCACGTGACGTGCTGTAATCGATGGCGTGACAGCGTCTAGGGGGTTTGTATGCGACAAATATCACAATTTTGGTTATATCTGCACAAGGTCTGAGGCTTAGTTTGCTCAATTTTACAAAATTTTAAAAATGAGATACGGTCTTGAAGCCACTGAATATTGTGATCATCCAGTCTGCTTTATGGACCAAAGCCTGTAAGCCGGCCTAATCGCTACGCTAATAGGGTCGAAAAGGAAAATCGTCGAAGTGTCATTGGTTTTACTGTTCTCTCTTATAAGCCAATTTCAGAGTATTGCAAAACAGTGTAAGTGCATATCCTGCCTTGCTTATAAAACCCATTCTAAAATCATTCCTAACACAAAATATCCCGGTATTAAAAGAATGATTTACCCGTGGGAGGGGAAGGGTCTGTGGGGAAATGATCGAAGAGGTTTCCTCCCTTGATAGGGATCTCGACGACTTTCACACCCTGCCATAGGGTCGGGAATTTGACTTGCCGCCATCTTGGATGACCGCGTGAAACTTGGAAGTCACCTAAAGTCACCATGTAAGGGTGGGGAAATTAACTTTTAAAACCGGGAAATGTAATATTCCCCTAGGGTCGCCCGTCCCCCCTCCCCGTTCCCTCCATCTTGGAGAAAAATAATGATAGATGCATTAGTTAGGAACGTACCATCCTATTTCGAAGGGGGTTGAATCCTTTTTGTGCTTAGTATACCTTATATCCTGTACAAGAACTCTTCCAAACCTTCCCATTTCCCGATTTTCTTTACTCAATAAATGTCAAAACATTTTAACTGTCGCAGAAAAAGTTCCAACTTATGGCTCTCCCTTTGTCTCCTAATATCTAAGCACATTCAACTATACAGAGGAAATTACTAAAACGAAGAACGGAGAAAGGCGGGACGGGATATGGGGACGGGAAAAAAAAGGTTTTTTTTTTTTTTAAATTAGAAAGAGGCAGTCTTAGAGTGTGCTTTCTTAGTTTCAAACCAGAGTATGAAATCTATTGTTTGGTGAAGGGACAATTAGCGTCAGCTGAATTTCAAACAACAAAAGACAATTAAAAATCAGAAATATTCTCACGACAATGATAGAACTGAAGTGTGTTTTCCCAACTTAAAGATTTAAACGCCGTCTCTTTTGAGTGCTTGTGACAGTAAATTCCTTCTTAACTGAAAATTGGTAATTTCTAAGTGAACTAGTCGCTGTTTTCATAAATGGCCTCGCAGACGAGGTGACAACCAAAGGTAATGACTATGTAAATTGAGCTATTAAGCAGAACAATTGATCCTGAATCTTGAAAAAAACTACTAATGAAAAAAAGGTTTTCAAATTCCCTTTGAAAGAAACGATACGGTGAACTAATGGGCTCGTTTGAAGACGCAATGACTCGCTTCCGAAATCGGTTGTAAAGTAATTTCAAGGTAGACTTTACATCTTTAGTCCGCCAGCCATGGATCTTATCTGATGCAACTAAAAAATTTACCGCGCTTTTTATGTACAAAGAGCATTTTACGCCTTTTATGACTTGATTGGAAAAAAAATGTGTTAAAATTACAAATGTTAAGTGTTAAAATTTCCTTTTTTAAGCCGCTCCTCTGATCTTAAAACAGATTTTGCTTAATTGGTTTTAAAACCAATACATTCTCAGAAAAGCAATTAATGTTTGAGATGTTCAAGTTTAAAAGGAAATTGCTGGGCGAAAGCGATTTCATTGTTTTACAGTCGAATTTTTAGCATCAGTAAAATTATTAGAAGTTGAGATATATCTTATGTACAGCTAGTTCATTGTGCTTACTGATGCTAACGTGCTGAGAACTGAATCAAAACATTTTAACTGATTGTTAGCTGATTTGGGCAATTGCACTAACAAATTTTCGCTGTCTTTCAGTGATATTTTGTAATAAAACTCTTACGGAAAAAAGCAGTCCATTTTCTCCTGGTAAAAGAAGTTATTATATTCGTCAACATGGATAATCGAACGCAGAGATGTCTTACTTTACGGACATCAGCTGAAACAACTATGAAAATTTTGTACTTCAATTGCTGATTTTTCTTTTGGGAACAGTCTCACCATCTGTTAAAAATTTTGCTCCTAAATTTTGAAATATTTAATATTTCAGGTTTTGATCAGGGGTTTCGTCAACATTTCAAATCATAGACAAAACCTTTAATGTCCTGCACTTTTCAAAACGCGTCGTATGAGTTAACTCATAATGGCTCTCGAAAATTGCCAACAAATGCCTCATTTAAAAGGACAGCCTTCTCAAAGGGTTCTACTTTTGCGATAACTTATGTCTTAAAAGCTTAATCAGAGCATTGTTAACACAAAAAATTTACAGAAATTTATTCACGCCTTATTAAAGAATTAGGCCTTGATTTTATGTCGCATGCAAGTTTAATTTAAAGAGCTTTTCTCCAGTTCAATATACTATATGATGTACAGATGCGTGGATCGATAAACTTCCAATATAATAGTGTGCTGTCGTTGAACAGATAAACCTTCGTATGAAATTCATCCCGTTTGATGAGCGTTTACGTCCATGTAAACTTTCGTATGTCAAGTTAAATAAACAATTTTAAATGCAAAATCTCTTTTTGTTGAATTTTGCCCTGCAAAAATCACCATCTGAATAAACCCAAGTGGATTTTGTGGAAAATAAAAGTGAAAGATTCGGCATTTTAATGACTCAGTGAAGTCCATTAGGCCGACCTACTCTAAAGTTTTCTGTCAAAGATAAGCTAAGAGATTTTCCTAACGAAAATATTGTGGATTCGATAAGAGAAAGCAACTTGTGCTTTCTTGAATAAATGAAGGAACGAATTTTAAAATGTACCAATAGCGCGTAGCCTCTGATTATCGGGCTTGTAAAGTGTAATGGGTTTCCCTCTAGCTTGCTATATAGAGATTTGCTTTGAAAACTAAGCTTCCTATTCAAGTAATATTTTAAATAGAGAGAGCGCGATTCGATGCCACCCTCTAGCTTTAACTGCCGCATTTGGTAATAGGGAGAATATTGCTCATATCTTTCAACTTCCACGTCATTTATCAAAAAGTTTGAGGCGTATATAACAAGCAGGTTGAAAAAAACACAAAACTAGTGTGAACAGCCGTTGTTGTGTTGGCCTCATCACATGAAAGCTGTGAAACAAACTCTCACCAGAAAAAGTCGCTAAATTGTTAAAGTAAACGAATTTAGTTCTTTAAGGTTGTAGTGACAAACTGTAAAGCCGGGAGAAGCTCTCTGGGCTGGGAGAAATCTAACGTTTTGTTCAAGCCATATCCCGACCCTCAAGTTTAACCGAAGAAAAAAAACATAAAATTTTAAAACTCTACCGAACTTGTAAATTTCGATCTAAACTGAAATGAGAACAGAAGCACAGGACTAGTAAAAGCTATATTTCTGCTTTCTGTTGAAATGTTCGAAATTGAGGATAGTTGACTCTGGCAACATCGGCAGAAAACCACATTTTAGCATTAATCTTTTAGTTCAGCGAACTTCTGCTGATACAAAATAGTCACGAATTTTCTGCGTGGAAATTAAATTGGAATTTTTGCATGCGGCTATTTCGTAAGTACAAATTATATTTACTTAACCTGTTTACCTAATGCGTAAATAGAAAGACAGCGTCATTTTCTAAGCCAGCTGTTTCACCCAACAAAGGAGAGCTTCTGAGGAACTTAAGCAAGCATACGTATGTTGACGCAAACGAAAACAATAGACTGTTTTGCATCTTCAACTAGAGGTTCCCTTCGATTGCCGCTCAGGCCACATCTTAAGGGATACATTCGCCCTTTTCTCGTTTTATAAATGAAAGAACAGCTTTCAATGATACATTGAACAATGATAACATGTAGTTTTGTCAATAAATTAGATGGACATAATCTTTTCTTTTACGCAAATTTTCCTCTACTGGATCATGACGAAAATGTTGATATTCAAGTCCAAACGTTTTTTTGGGGGAATATATTTTTAAGAGATAACATTCATTTTATATAATCTCCAAACAGATCGATATGCGCTGATGAATGAAGCCTATCGTACACAATTTGTATTTGCGGCATGCAATATCAATACTGCCAGATGCCTCGATTATACAATTCTTTATCACATTGAATTTTTATAATTCCAGCGGAAAGGCTAAGCTCGCTTATTTATCTCTTTGTTAATCAGCGTAAAAACTTATCTTTTGCTTTGAAACGGCTAAGAATTATAAGAAAGGGGAGTACATTTAGCAATTTCCTGTACGTCTACAAGGAGCAGAGAAGGCTTTTATTGAGACAGCTACCTGCATTGAAACCAATCACTGGTTGGCGCTTTTAACTTCCGTTCCCAAACTCCACGACGACGTGAAATAAAAGCGAATATACTTATTGCATTTTATTTGCATGTTACACTGACAATAAGTGAAGGCCGCTCTGTCATTAGAAATAACAAACCCCCTGGATTGATAGGTGCCCAAATCCCTCAATTGTTTCATGAGAATTTTGATCGTCAAAAGCGCGCGCGATATTTATGACAAGAAAAAAAGTTAAGGAAGCCAAATTTTTTTTCTGAAAAAATACTCTGAGAGAGCGGATATCAAATTTTAGGTCAAATTTGGAAGAAAGAGTCGTACAGGCGAAGGGAGCAGATATCAATTTCAGTTCGTATATAATTGATTTAAATTTTCCGCAGCTGCAAAACCAACTCGAAGCAATTTTACCTCCAATACTTTTCTAGAAACTTCGCATGTTTTCCCCGAATATCAATAATAACGATAATTAAATTCGATTGCATTGCGAGTTCTGATGCCGCTATCGAAAGCTGACACGACAAAAACGTAAATTTGGGTATACAAGGGCTGGGGTGGACTCAGATTTCGCACGAAATCCCTCTAAATTAAGTTATAAAAACTCCGCTTACAACATTTCTCGTTTCTATTTTTGAAGCTGAATACAATTCCACAACCCGATTCGATCGTTTTATACCTCTAGCAGAAATAAACTTAAAAGCATTTCAGTATTAGCTCGGTCCAAAAAAATTCACCTTGATTATTGAACGAGAAAAAAGAACGATCAATTTAGAGTTTTATGGCTGTTTACTTCAGCTTTCATGGTGTCAAAAAATTACAAAATTCGCTAATGATCTTGAGAGGAACATCTTCCTCGAAATGCCGCACTCATCTTCAAAAGGAAAAAAAGCGTGGCTCTAAGTGCCATGCTTTTTTCTTCCACAAAAATTTTCCACCGATACTCAGCGATATGTGGAAAATTCATGACAACAGAACAAACATTTCCGCGAGGTTTTCGCTGCCGCTGTGTCAAATTTGTGTTCACACGCACGCTCATTCACACAGTAACAGGTGGTTCAAAATAAATGTAAACTACAATATTTTCATAACTCGCACCGCGGCGATGCTCATTTTTTTCTGCTCTGGTAATTTTTTTCCTCCTTATTTATTATTTATGCTAAGCGGGTTCGAAAAAAATAACCTGCGTCTTTATTTTGCTTAAAACTTTATCGTGGCAATTCTTTATTCCCAGTAGAACCATTCGCACACCGAAGGGCAAATTTTGCGGAGGGAACTTAGCATAACACTGTTTTCACTGAATTCGTTATCGTTTCGCCGCTAAGCAAACGCTTCTTTTAGCAATGCTTATTCCTTACATTTAGATTATCTAAATAAATAAATAAATGTAAACATTCCTGAAAATCGTTTTCATTAAAAAAATGTTTCCTACCCGTTGAATTTGAAAAGCAAAAATGCTTCGGAGAGGTACAAAGCTAAATTCGCTAACATTTCAATTTACTTGAGAGTTCTTTCGTTATAATGACACTTGGACGTGTCACCAAAGCAGCATTTCCTCAATTCATTACAATAGTGCTTTGTCCCTGCGAGAGCGACAAGGAAAAAGCAAACTTCATTCTTTTGGCGCGTGTACCACATAAACAAAGAAAAATCATGCAGAAAACAATTTATTAGCGACTCGATGTTAAATGATAGATGCTTATTTAGGGTTCCATGCAATTTTCTTATTGAACGTTGTATCACTTCTCTTTTAAGATTTCCGAATTCTAATTACACTGAATCTCCCTCTTCTGAAGCCGAGTTTGCCTCCTGAATAACAATCTGTGGGGTTGTTCCATTACCAAATCTGCTGGTAAAAAATGTCACTACAGATACATCTTCATCGCCTGAAGTCGATCTATGCGTGTAACTGTCCCGTCCTCGGATGACACAAATGCGAATGAAAATATCCTTGAAAGATTTTCTAAAATCGCTGTTAAAGCTCGAGTAAATAATTGGATTTACGGCCGAGTTCAGCAAAGGTAATACGTAAACGAAAACGATCGCCACAAATTGTTGTCCTTTCTCAGGAATCTTAAGCAAGCAGTCCCCGCAAAATTGTACTATAAACATTATAATGAAGAAGGGTAACCAACAAACGATGAAAGTTCCGATGACGATAGCGAGAGTCTTAGTGGCTTTCAGTTCGCGTACGATTGATTTTCGACGTTTACGCTCCGTCCGTCCAATATTTACGATGCTTTGGCGCGCGTCCTTTCGAATGTCCGCCTCAGATATCTCGCCAGGCTCCATCGCACTCGCTGATTTTAACAGCTGCAGTTTTTTGGCCTGTGTGAAGGCGACCTTGAAAACCATTGAGTAGTTGATAACGAGAATGGTTAAAGGCAGGAAAAAACCAGCAGTTATGGCGAACAAATAATAATAAGGATCCGATTTCTTGCACTCATTCGAAGAAATCGTTTCTGCGTCAGGGGACCAACCCGTGAAAGATAAAGCTGCTATGAGGCCAGAGTAACCCCAGACGAAGGTAATGGCGGCAAATCCTCTACTTTTCGTCATAATACTCCTGTAGCTCAGTGGGAAACTTAGCGCTAAGAATCGGTCGATCGAGATAAGGCTTAGGTTTGTTATGGACGCGCAGGAACACAGTAGGTCCACGAACACCCAAACTTCACAAAGAATCTGACCTAGATCCCAGCACATATAGTTCAGTGTGTGGTGAATGCGAAACGGCATGGAAAGAGCGGCGATGAGAACATCTGACACAGCCAAAGAGATGATGAAATAGTTTGTCACCGTGCGAAGCCGCCGATAATGTAAAATAGCACCGATCACTAAGCAATTTCCGCAAACATCAAGAATTAGAATGAAAATAACGAAACTCGCCTGGGATATCGTAGAGGCCAGTGTATATGGCGCACTGTTACTATCACAAGAAATCGAAGCTTTAGTTCCATCTGTACCATTCATGTTGACAACTGGGTATGGTTGTTGAGTAATGCGCTGCGCGCGCTTGTCTACGCGTATTTATCAGGCTTCTATCAATAACAGACGTTGGCGATAAAACGCGTGTACGAATCAATTGTTGTCGCCAAGTGACGGTGAGGGCACATTGGCAGCGCTCTTAAGACAAGTAAGGGCGGTGACATCTATGCTCCGATTTGTCTCTCTTCTGACGTGACTATTAATTAGTCCATTTTTTAATTTTTGTATTTAAATTTATTTGGGTTGTGGAACCTCCTCGATCAAAAAAAGAGGCTTTTATTAATGAATAAAGATCTTGCTAACACTGTCTTCAATTAGTGGGAGTAACGTGTTCCTCCTTTGCTTCAATTTCACATAACGAGCTTTCAATGGAGATTGCGGTATATTTCCTTCTCAATTTCGTACTTCTTTGTTAGTAATGATTTTGCTGTTTGAGATAAAGCTTGGCTAACCTCGCTGAGTTCTTGTTACCTATCGCAATTTCGAATTAGCGTTGACAATGAAATATATTTGTTTATACCTGCTTGAGTGAGGACCCATGAGGCGAAGGAAAAAATAATTTACGTTTGACAAAGATTTCTCCCCGCTGTCTTTCAAGACAGGAAGGGAAATGCAACTTACAAAAGTTGCAATTTTTGTTTATGGAAGAGTGAGAGTTAAAAATAAAAAATTGCAAGAGAAACAAAACGCATCAATGAATTTCTGACAAGTTCATGAACTAAAATTTTGTGAAATTCATTGCGGATTGTTTCAGTACTTCAATGCAAAAGTGCCTCATTTGATCTTCGACTAATTTACAAACAATCCGCTTTCAGACGCAGACATGTAAAATAATAAAGTTCTTTCACTGACGAGGGAAGTTGTTGAGTAATCCTAATATATGTACTGTTTGCTTTCGTAGAAATATTCCATTTCATTACGAAATATGTTAATCAAATATATCTCAGAGGAAGCGGTCAATATTTAGTTTCTTCGGCGGCTCGTTATTTGCTCGCCACCAAGGCCAACAAAGCCTGTCAATACTTGAAGGAAAGCAAGTGGAAATTTCGTATTATTTGTGTCTGTTTGTAAAGTGACATTATATCTTGTTTTAATCGATGTGGTTTTAGTTTGGGTTGTACCTGCATAAATCCAGTTTGCATATATTGACGAGCGAGTAAACTCATATTTCTGAATAAACTTCGTGAATTTCATCAAGATCTCATAATGATTTTTTTCTATTTTACGGAACGAAACCGATAATACCATATGTATTTAAGAGCAAATCTCAAGTTTGTATGAAGGGTCGTGAAACTTTTGGAAAGTTCTCGACTTTACGCCGGGTGATGTTAACACCACGGATTGTTGCCTTCGAGTAAGTTCAAGCAAGTACATCTGTCTGCTCCAATTCTGGCGCAAAATAGGACCAGAGTAAACAAGTCTGCGGATTGAAATTGAAAAGACGAAGGAATTATGCATTGTTGTTTAAACCAGACTGGGTGCTGTGTTTGGAACTTGGGGTAAATTTTTGTCCGCACCACGGCGACAATTAAAATGAGTTTTGTTTTAAAATTGTGGTTTAGAAATCGCCAGATAACAGCGAAAGCAAAACAAAAAAGGAGCGGAAAATAAAGATACTAAGAATCAGATTCTTGATCACCAATAACATGGTGGGTATTTCGTGGAATAAATATTTACTGTCTCGCTTATAGCTGATATGTAGATCCAAAATGCGCTACAGTTATTTTAGAGAAGATGCCTCCAGCAATGCAACTGTGTTTCAGTCGGACGTAGAAACAACATACGTATCAATAATTTGGATTGTTTTTAACAATGTTCCTTCGGGTTTTAAGGCGCGTAATTGCTCCTCGAAGTGGAAAAAAGCAGCTGTCTCGGTTTGAGTTGAGACAAACGATAATCAAAAGAATACATTGATCGTGCCGGTGCCCAGCAGGAAAGCTACAACTGGCTGCGCTGCTAAAAACAATAACATTGCAAAAGGAGAAGATAAACCAGGTAAGTGTTTATGATACTACTTGGTGTGTAGCTTCAGACTTCCACCACTAGCAGGTTGTGTGGTTTTTTTTTTTTTGACAAGCAGGATGCAGCTCCATTCGGATATCATTACGGCGTCGACGATATTCGATATTAAACATTGAAGACCAATTTGAGCTGCGGGTAACGCGGCACTCTTCAAGTAGGAATGAATGGAGACATAATTAAGCGCTTTTGCTGTTTAAATTCGAGAAAGCGATTTCACGTTTCTTAAAAACGTATTTTCTTTTGGTTTTTGTCTTCAAGAGATAAGATATTATATTATATTGATGCAGACTATGGAGTTATCAATTAAAATACCCAAAACCTACACGCAAGTCTGCCCTTAATTACGATGATAAATCTACGGGCTTTTTTATTTCCGAAAGTATACCGCGTTTTAGAAAATAGAACCATACAGATATGAAGTATGCTTCAGAGTTCAATTTTACTCCTTATTTGGGTGCAAAATTTTGTTGCAAGCAGCTTTATCAGTATGCGTAATGGATCAGTAAAACGGATCAGGAAAAAAGTTCAGTAGCTGCCAGTTCGAGCCAAAAAACGAAGGAGAAAACACTTTTTAATTGAGATTTAAGATGAAACTTTTTAAAAAATAATGGTACAAGTTTGGATACAGAGTAAGATTTCTTTTCACAAATATGGTTAAACGGCGCGTTAATTATCATGTTCGCTCGCGAACATGGTAATTAAGGTGGAAAAGACAGACAAAAAAAAAAAGTAAAACCGCGATCTTAATATCTGCAACGAAGTCCAGCTGTGATAAAAATTGCCCTATTCTTTATGTTTTGGTTTAACATTTCAAAAATGTTTAAAAACCTCGAAGTTTTGACTATTCATGCTAGTTTTTTTCTTTTTTAAGTGCGGTAACACACATTTGCGCCTAAGTTAATTTACGCTGGTTCAGCTGCATGCTAGTACTTACCTCAAAATAAGTTTATTCAAGAGTACTATGTAAGCTAATGAACGCACTTATATCTCGAATAGAGCTGATAATGGCAGTGTTCTTCTAGAAAAAATTCAAATAGATTTAAGTGTTTATTCTTAAGCTGCATTCATCGGCCAATCAGTAAATAAATGCAGAAGGAAAAAATCTTCAACGGCGCTAATGAGTCTGGCTAACATGTTTCATAACACATTTAAGTATCAAAGCTTTTAATACACGCTTACTGATTCGCTCGAGACATATATGGATAAAACGAAAACTTCCTGTGAATGGCATTATAATTTTTTTTTTACGGAATTCAACACAGGAAGTTTTTGGAAATTGAGGAAGACTCATTCAGAGAGCTATTAAAGATAAAAGATTACGCTTTAAAGTCGTTTGTTGCTTTTGAAATTGAACGGTTGTAATTCGGTTCAGTTTCACTTCCTTTTTCTATTAAAATCAGCATCACTTTCCTCGATTATTAGAGCATTAATGCCCATTTTTCCTCGAACAGGAAAGAGCATGATATATTATTTTAAATATTATTTCCCAACTCATCTCGGTTTTCTGCTGTTTGAGAGAAGGGTACATGTTCATTCATCTTCAATTAACTTAAGCGAACTCCTTCAGAAAAGCTTTTTTTTTTCAATCAGCCCGACGTGAACTTTGAGAAATGTATATTAAACTACGTATTCAGATTATATCAATTGGACAGAGATCTCTGGTATCAATATTAACTCGAACGTTGTAATTAAAGCTCTTCAATCTAGTGCTCCGTTTCATGTGCATTTCCGAAGTGGCTCTTGAATTATGGTTTGATCAAAAGTCGTTTAAGTCAACAAAGTCGTTTTAAAATAGCAGAACAGGTTCATCGGTAAGCATTAACTCAAATTTCCACAGACTGCCACCGTTGTACATCAACGCCGGTAGAAAGCCGGTTGCATATAAGTACATACAGGAACTTCAATGAACTTACACATACAGAATATGGGAGTTTAGCGTCCTATCGGTTTGACAAATTCAATTAAAGAATAAGTGTTTTATTATCCAGTTTCTCTCTATATTTTGTACTCACGCTAACACAACCGTGAAAGTGAACTAATACATCTCATAACGTCACTAAAATTACTTATTTTAGACGTCACGAATTGAAATTAAATGATTAGGCATTTGTTTTTCTGAAAAAACGCTTAGAATTTAAGATTAAATATGTGAGGGAGAAATACTCATCATGTTAAACTTCATCCACTGCATTAAGTTATTTCTCTCTTTGTTGATGTACATATCAGTTTCTCATTCTCGTCCATCAACAGACCAGCCATATGAAAATTCTGAAGCTATCTTAAAAATAATCGCCATGAAGACAAAACAAAGCACGCCTCTGATGAAGCAATTATAATGAAAAAACACAGGACGCTAAGCAATTATTTTTCTTAGTAATGTAGTAAATTTTTTTCTCGAAGTTTCCTCCGGAACCATTGCTTTGTATCGGCGAGAAAGTGAGACTGTTCACTTGATTATCGACTAAATTGAGCAGTTCTCCTTTAAACAATCAAACTGCATATCATATTAATTCCTTTTATTGATTTTTTTCTCTTTCTGGAATCCTTATTTTCTCCTTTTAAGCCCACATATTTATATGAACAGCGTAGTTGTGGGGGCTAAAGATGATCGTTCCCAGACAAAACAAAGCGTAAATTTAATTGCAATGAAGAAAAAGCTATTGTCGATGAATTAGCACGGAAGTTATATAAAGTTCTAGAAGTTTCTTAATGAACTGTTGTGACATGCACTGCTCATATGATTGTCAGCTGCAGGTTGATAAGGCTCCATATAAACAAACGCAATAAACTTTGACAAAATGGCAGCTTTAAGATTTTCAATATGGTAAAGCATACAGTAGCAGATCAACCTGATTATACCTTTCAATAAACGATCCCTTGTTGATAATCGGTAGGTAATTTGACATATAATGCAGAATATCTCATTGTTTTGAGAGTTTAATTAACACGGTAGGCGGTACGATATCTTAAACAATTTTTCACTGAATTTCTGACTTAATCACATATGGATATGAGAGCGATCTTCCCAGTGATTATCACTACTTAAGTAGTCGTAGAAATGAGGCCGGAAAAAATTTAGGCCTGTTCGGGATTTGAACCCCACATGGACTCCGCGTTACGATACCGGTGCAGTGCTCTGTCAACAAGTCAACTAGGAGCTGGTCACTATGTTTGTTCGTAATAAACCCGATGAATAAATGATTGTGAATATATGAAAATCATCTTTGTGAACTGCGGATAAAGAAATGAATACGAAAGCGATCTTCGCAGTAACGAATACTGCTTGTAAGCGGTAAAGAAAATAAGGCCGGGAAATTATTTTCACTACTGCTTAAGTAGTGTTCATTACTGCGAAGACCGCTTTCATATTCAGTCCTTATCCGCAGTTCACACAGATGATTTTCATTTGTTCACAGCGGCATTTGATTATATATCTTGAAATCCATCGGGGAACCTTGGAATATATTCTTTTCCTACTCTCAAAGTCTGAACGCTGGAAATGCTAGAAGCTGGCTCATCAAAAAGAAAAAAATAAACCTTAACTATCGGCGAATGGCGGAAATTCTTAAGTGATATCTTAAGGGCAGCACCGACAAAAAATTTATATTGTATACGAAATAAACCTTTTTATACCACAATCTTCGTGTCCAGCGGAAATAGTTCTAAATGTGAAAAGCCTGGTAACTAGTTAGATTTCAACATGGCGGGCAGAAATGTCTCGTATTTGAAGCCTAAAACACCTTCTTTCATAGCGCAGTTCAAGGAGAAAGTGGGATATAAAGAACCAGATACAGTTGAAACAAAATTCGAAAAGCCTAATTCGTCCAAGTTAGATGACAGGGAACTTGAAGACGAGAATCCAACCGTAGTTTTGGGATCCAATGTAACCCAGGCCGAAGCAAATGTTTACCTCTCGCGTTTAAAGGCGGAAGAAGAAGCCGAAAAGACAGGTATTAACAAGCATACGATCAGCTACTGAGATTTATGTTATGATACAATAAAAGGGTATATTTAGAAATTGCTATTGGCATGATAAGGTAAACAAAGAAAACAGTATGCAAACGCTTATATCTGCGTTATCATTGGATCGGTTCTCCTCCTCGATAGCTGGAAGAAAAGTGGATTACCTTAAGATATTATCTTTGTGATATTATTTAACCTATCAATTTCAATCATTTGTTTAAATATGATATGAAGGTTTTTTTCTGACCAATCAACTTCACAATGTTGTTCTACTCAATGATTTGACAGTACACTAATTACAGTGCAATATTTCTGTTTATTTTGTTGATGTACTTACCCAGTTAGATTTTAAAAACCACTTAGCTGTGAGGCCTACTTGTAGTTAACATCTATAGACACTTGTCTTTTTCCTTTATTAGAATTTTATGGCTAATGTAAATGTAAATCAAAAGAAGAAAAACCATGCGAATAATCCTTGAAAGAATATTTGATGCTGATGAAAACAATCACCTTGCTAAATGATAAACAGGACTTAAATAGAGAAAGATGTTTTTTTTTGTCTTTTCACAAGTGTGGGACAAAGAAAAAAATTCTGAGTCCCCATGTGGAATCGAACCTCAGATTTTTATATTCTGTGCTCTGATGCTCTGATGCTCTAACCACTGAGCTACAGAGACTCCACAGTGAGTAAGGTCTATATAATCTATTGTATTACCACATTCACACCAGCTAAATGCATTTAGTTAAACCAGGTCTAACTGAAAGAAAATCAGAAACAGAAAAGTGAAAAACTGAATTTCCAATAGGTTTCAAGTACTCATTAACATATATTTTCAATGTGCTAAATTTGAAGTCAACAAACATTGGTTAAGCAGCTTCTATGTAGAAAACAATTTTAAACCTTGTTTGAAAAAGCAGCTTTAGCACATGTTTAAGATTTGGTGTGAATGGAGTTTAAGCAAAGAAATTTAATATATAAAACACTCATTATGGAAAACTGACCTGTCAACCATCCATTATTTAAATTCTCTTTTACATTTTCAACCTCTACAGCCATTACTCATGGGCATGGTAGATTTATGTTTTTTATGTTGTATTTGCCTTTATTAGCAGCTGTAATGCAACTATGTGGATGATTTGAGAATGCTGTTTGATTTCATTAGCAGCTGAATTTGGGTTTTACTTCCCAAGATCTAATTGTTGACTCTCTCCTCTGGTTGCTACACTTTTCCTTGTAATTAGTTACAAAAATTTGGTGTTAGATCAAGATAACTGTTACATGATAAGTTTGAGAATTCTTATTACCTGTTTGCTGGATAATGTATACTTATTATAGGGAGAAGTTACTTGTTAATCACTTCTGAGAGTTATGTTACTAATCACTTCTAAGGGTTATGTTACTGTTTCATTTCCTGCCACCCAACTGACTTTCAGAAGAAATTATAATAATGATTGAAATATAAATAAATGATGATAATGCCAACATGTTTCAAAAACGCCCTCTTGCTAGCAAAATTTTCCTATTGTTTTAGATGCATGTAATCAATAATTAATTTATTAGAAAATGTTTTCTTCATTTTTTTTTACTCAACAGAACAACTCACTCTTTTACAAAAGAATGGAAATGATATATTTTGTGAGAAAGGCCTTGTTATAAGTAAATTTTGAGTAGAAGTTGGCTTCTTATTACTTGATATAAAGAATTCTTACAGGAGCAACTCATTCATATTTTTTATGTCAACAGAAAAGAAAATAAATATTGGTGAAGGAGACGATACCAGTAAAGATGACGGGAAAATCGTTTTTAAAAAGCCAGGAAAGAGGAAATCAAAGGACAGCGAGAGGCAGTTGAAATACAAAGCAGATAATGGAAAGAAAGCAAAACCTAACAGTACTATGAAAAGTGTGAAAAACAAGACGCTTCTATCGTTTGATGAGGAAGAGGATGAAGACTGAAAAGTTACTTAATAAGGGTTGTTGGGGTGGAAGACCATTATGAACATCTCGTTTTAGGATGAAACTTCCAAGAAGAAAAAAGCCGGCAAATTTGTTGGATACGTTTGGAGCTTTGGTGGTAGCAGAAGTAATTAGACAGAGTCTCAATACTCAGTGGTAGAGCATCGTAGAGTAGAATCTGAAGGTCTAAGGTTCGATACCTCATGGAGACTCATTTACATTATGGCTAATGTAAATGGAAGTCAAAAGAAGAAAAACCATACGAATAATCCTTGAAAGAGTACTTGATGCAATGAAAACAATCACCATGCTAAATGAATTAGACAGAGTCTCAAGACTCAGTGGTAGAGCATCGAAGAGCAGAATCTGAAGGCCTAAGGTTCTAAGATTCCTCATGGGGACTCAAAAATTTTTTCTTTACTCCACGCTCGTAACAAGACGCAAAACATCTTTCTCTATTTCCTTACCGCGCTTAAAAAACTTTCTTATTCTATTTACAACAGCTTTCCGTGTTACGAAAAGGCTGTCAGAGAGGTTAAACCTACGGCGAATAATAGTTAATTAGTATAATTGCTCAGGTGCTTTCGAAATTTCCTGTAAATAAAAAGAGCAGAGACTGCGCATCTCTTGTTACAATTTTTTTTAGTACTCGTATCAAGATAAGAGCGCAGGTTTTTTAGGTCTACTGAATACAATCAGCCAAAACTTCGAGTGTCCCGCCAAACCTACTGTTTTGATTGTTTTCCTCGTTCTCTTTTTGTTCTGTATCATTGTAATTTATGTCAAGTGTGTCTTCTACGTCAAGTAAGAGCCCCAATAAGGCAAATCGATCGTCAAATACCATTTCGAACCTAAAGCCTTAGGTTCGAAAGCCTGATCAAGACACAAACAAGATGGCAATTTTGACTATATTATCATTTTCATTCATACAAGTGGTGACGACCTTAGCGCTATATCCTAGGGTGTACAGTTTCACTTTGCGTAATATATTTTTTCTTCATAACATTGTCGGCACACTCTTCTCTCAAAAGTCGCTGATTATTTTATTTCGTTTAGAGAAATGAGCAGCAGTACTTTGTTGGAAATTTTTGGACATGTACTTTTTAGTTTCACGAAAAGTGTGACCGATCATTATAACCCAGAGGAACCGGAGTTCAACAACGAGTTATTTGGGTATAATCCTCTCGAAAGCACAGGTCGAGAATGGTATTATCACCCTGTGGATGAGCTTGTTTACCAGGAATACGGTGGAAAAGACTTAATCACGAGCACGAGCTATCTAGCTGCGAGCAGTCTTGATGTAAAGGTAATTGATGCATGTTCTACAGAGGTGAACGAAACAGAAGCGAACGAGATAAAAGTCGACAACAACAGTGGCACAGCTTGGAAGCGTTTGAGACCTTCCGTTTGCCGTACAATTTTACAATCGCTGTCTATCGGAGCCTTGATTTCATTGCTGGCTGCTATCATCTCAGGTGCGGAGTACATTTTGATCTCTTATCTTTGTTATGAAACTATCAATGTTTGTGAATTCGAACCGCAAAGGACATCAATTCCCCTTCGAGTTCAGTGGATGCGAACAATTGTGATTGCGATGGCTTATTTCTTTCTCTATAATTGGTTCTTTTCAAATGTGCTGCTACTTTTTCGCTTTTATCAACTACATGGACTGAAGAGAAAATTGTTTCTAGCTTTCTCCATTCCCTTCTGTATCGATGCTACCTATCGTATCACACTACAGGCTTTGGGAATGTCGTTTTCGAAACTTTCCTTGATTCAAAATATTCCCACAAACATTAATTTTCTCACAAGCTTCGGTGTCCAAGTTTATCTCCTTGCGAAACATTTTTGCACCCAGTCAGTGAAAAGGCAGATCTCTTTGTTCTGCCAAATGACAGTACCTCTTTGCCTCACGTTTATTATCGGTATGATCTTCAAGTATCTGATTTATCCAGCATACATCAAAGAGGATACAAATGGTAAGCTACTCATTGCTGTATTCGCACCGTTGACTGGGGTGTTATTGAAACCAATAGCACGCATCTGCGCCCAGAGGCTATGGAACATTACCCATCCGGGTTACTCTTACGTGCTATCAGCGCCTTTGTATTACGGATCAGCGGTTGTCTTTCGAATTTTACAAGCGGATTTGGACAATTTATGGTCAATCGCGCTTCTTGGGATAATTCACGGAGCTGCAGAAGTTATAGAACGTAGTGCCATGGTTTTAATTGACCACATTTGTCATGTGCTATGCAAAAGAACCTCTGCTCCATTGGGAAGTTTTCGTACTCCCCGACGCGAAAGACTCATGGCTGACATCGCCATAATGAGCATGCTGTCTGAGTCAGCGGCTATAGTTTCTGTGAACGGCGTCATATACCTGTATCAATGGGTCTACATCGAGGACAGCTCGTGGTCAAAACTGTTGCAGTCTTTTGCCATTTTCACTTCCGTTCCTCTATTTATTGAATGGTTTTTTAACAGCATGTCTCTGGCGATCGAGACTCGCTATCAGAATATGGCTGTTATGGCTGTTTGGCGAAAGAGATGGAAGAGGCATTTTCTCGTGGCGATTGTCAACACGGTGCCGATTGCATTAACTCTCAGCACCAATCAGATAGCAGTGGTTCACGAGAGATTTGATCGAATTAGAGTCAAGCCTTGTAGAGTGCCATTTACACGAAACTTTACATCAACATCGTCGTAAATTTGCGCAGTTTCGAGAGGTGTAAGCATAATAGAGCCTTTTTTTGATGAGATTTTAAATGCAAGGTTTAAATAAACGGCTTGGTCACCTTAGAAATTGAAAAGTGTTATATTGTGTGCTATTATAGTTTCACACTGGTTTTCGCGATCGCCTTTATCTTCCCAGACCTAATCGTATGAGCGGACACTAATTATAAAAAATCCTCAAGAAAATTGCTGTTCAGTGCTTTGCATTTAAGCGAACGAGTATCTTTTCAATGAAACGTTTATTTATCGACCCAGAACTGCTTTTCATAAAAGGCATCAACCTGAGTTGTGCAAAATATTGTCAGATAAGGAAGAAGTGAAATACACGAAAAGTAAGTCGTATCACAAAATTGATACACAAATTCAAGTAAACAATAAGGAAAGGATTTTCTCATCAGCTAAAAAGCAACCGATTAATTTACTTTCAACCTCAGTGGAATCTTTCACTATTTTTCATGTAACGAGCTGAATTAAGCATGCATTTTGATTGGTTGTTACTCATGATCTATTGGTGGACAGACGCACAGATAACGTAACCATTGACCATTTTTTGCCCCTATAATTTAAAACAAATGGATTCCATTTTGGTGGGTGTCTGTTAAGCAATAGATCACATCCGAGTGTGTCACGGATGTTCTTACCACACCTGGCATCCTCTGTGATCTGTTACTGAACAGATGTACGGCAACATGCATGGAGTCTATTTGTTGAAAATAAATGTTATTTGTGATCATGATACTCAGGAATCGAAAACAAAAGAACAGAGCCATGAAGATATAAAAAAACCGGGTAGAACCTGAAAATAATTTCTGACCGGTTTCACAGAAAATATGGCATCAGAAAACACGTCTTCACGATCGCATGACATGGTCCGTGAGATTATTTTGCTATTTTTTAGGGTTTTTTACTTTCAATCAGTCAATCCTGTGAACCAAAAAGCTATTTGTTTTGTCATGAGTGTTGGATGAAAACGAGGAGTTGAACTTCAGACATACGGAATTTATGCCCCGATGTATCCTTTCTCGTTGAAATTTTTTCAATCAAAATGAAACTCAACTTTTCCACATATCTTAAAAAAACCAAAATACTCAGTCCATCAGAGGGAGTCCAGCCACCTTAACCTTGTATTTGGTAAACAACGCAGATATGTCACGTTTCACAGAGATATAAATATCATGTCATTTACGTTTAATGCAAAAGCGCGATGGAAGGCCACATTTATTTTCCTGCATGGGAGATAAACAAATTAGCTCTCCATGACAACTCACCATGACCATAACTTTCCCTAAGGTCATTTTCTTATTTCGTGCGTTATGCGTTTGCGTTGGGATCAAAATATCGCCATATTCTATTACTTTTTCACAACGAAATGTTTGTTTGGCTTTCAGTTCAATAGTAAACACTATGTACCATCACCTGACTTGATCCCTTGTAAAATTTTAATGTAGGGGTTCCCTTTTTAACTGACATCACCAATCTCTTTGAATTTTGTTATCAGTAAAACGAGGACAACACAAGCCCCTCTTTGCAGGAATAACTTTAAAAAATTCTAATAAAAGGCCGTGTCAAATGTGGTGTCATTGTTACATTCGGTTTGCAGGTCATACTACAACGCAACGTTTTATAAAATGTAATGAATTCAAATTTAACAAGGTCTAATTACAAAGCTTTCTACTTCATTGTTCCTGTCAGTCAGTGTCGTTTGACCTTGATTTTATCAGTACAAACCTAAGGAATAGGTGTCCTCGCTCAAAATTTAGATTTCATTCAGGTGGCCTCGCTTTAATATATGGTATGGTTTACTTAGGTTATTATGATAGTAACATTCACTCTTGCTCAGCATGTTATATATATCAGTAGCACGAATGCACGTCAAAGACCTTCTTGGAGAAAACTTATTGTTCTAGAATTTCTTCCTAAAACCCCCCTACAGTCTCTCTATATTGTGGTTTTTTCGCGCGACACTTCTAAGAGAAAATTGTCCAGCAAAACTTGGCAGTGGAAACTCCAGTGACTCTAGGACGTTAAAAAAAGATGAAGTAATTTTGATGATAAAAAACAAACGTTGCACTCCTATTCCTCCACTTTTTTCGATGACAACCTGTGCATGTTCTTGCGTTTCCATATGTCATACTATGAAAGATCGACAATTCTTATTTTCGTTTTATTCTAAATTTCAATTACGTCAACTTTGTTTTAAAACAACATGCTATCTGAGGTTGAATTAAAGTTTCCTCGTGTTTCATCGCCTTTAAAGTTTTTTCCAATCGAACTTTCAACACATTTTGATAAAAAATGAAACAAAGCAAACTTTATTCGTGTAACTTTTTGTTTGAAACCAATTACGAGGCGCGTGACATTACCCACTACTTTTAGAATATCATCTTAAACAATAGAGTTGTGATTGCATATTTTAAAAGATCCTTAAGAAACCACGGGTTACACAGAAATGCTGCAGTTTCACCGGATCCAGCAAGGTTGAAAGATATGTCCTAACGTGTATTTTTTCAGTCTTGTTAAAGCAACAAAGAGTTTAACTACCAAACTCCAATTATTTGCGAAACGGCGATCAATTTCCGAACTGCAGTTCTCGTAAAGGACTGAAATTTGCCTCGAAACAGATCGTTCGTCGCCAACCTGACTTCACACAGGAAATCTAATATAGGGGATAATTTTTAAGGAGAGAATCTTACTATGACAAGTTTCAGCATTTCTTCAACCATGTCCACTGAAAACTTCTCGACGACTATCAGTGGAACAGTAGAGTCGCAGGGTGTGGAAATACTTAAGAGCACGCTTTATGCGACTTGTGGTGTCTTTGGTGTTGTCGGTAACATCCTAACGACAATTATTTTGACGAAGATCAAGGCGAAGGAAACGAGAGTAATGGATTTCTACATGATTAACTTAGCCATAGCGGATTTAGGAACTTTGCTCTTGGCATTTCCAATTACCGCGATACGAGAGAGACTTCCGAATGATTGGCCATTTGGAGAGTTTGTCTGTTTGTATTTCCTTCCACTTACCGACATATTTCACGGCTCGTCTGTTTGGTTCATTACAGCAGCTGCCATAGAAAGATATCAGAAAATTGCCAGGCCTTCCAAAGTAAACGTCAAACTGCCAATAGCATTGAAAAGAGCACAGATCGTTGCAGTGAGCACATGGGTGGCGTCATTCGTCGTCTTTTCATTACCGCTCTATTTTGTTCTTCGCTACAGAGAGGTTTCTACCGATGGAAGATTTTGGTGTGGTTCAGAGTGGCCTTCATTAGGCGCAGGCCTCGCTCTATCCAAACTTTACTTTACTTTCATGGTCTTTGTATCTTATGTTATGCCACTATTTGTAATATCGGGAACATTCCTCGCAGTGTCGCACAAACTA